CATGATAAAGAACATGTGCGTATTGAACATCGTGGACATGTATATTTTATTGGATTTTTATAACATATAGAACATTTTTTTGGATCTTTAGAAGATTCCATCTAGAAATAAAATCGAATCTTTCAATATTTTAATAATATTCTAATACTAGAGTTTAAGCCGATGTATTAACCAGCGATGGCAGCTCAGCCGAATGGTTTATACACCTCTATCTAATACAACTTTTTGTCAGTTATATTTTTTTTTTGACTGTATGGTTTAGTTCTGGCATAGGTATTTCTTTTCATAATTGAAAGAATGTACAAAATTGCCCGAATTTGAATAGTTCAAGGTATTTATATCTGAACTACTCGTTGACTAATGGTCATCGATGATGAAAGAGAAAAAATTTTCTTTGATCCTACTGTTGTGTAATTAATAGATGTGGGATTTCACAAGTCGATCTGCTGAAAATATCATTTCCATATCTCAATGCTAATGGAAGAACATTCTAGATGTTTTTCTCATGCCAGCAGGTCATTGTGTGAAATCTCACATTCATAAATCATACTACAGTGGATGAAGACAACTGTTCCTCTTACATCGAAAGAAATACTTGTGCAAGAATTGAATTATACAATTAAAAAAAAAAGGAAATTGACAGAAAGTTGTATTAGAACATTGTTCATTTGAAGTATGTCTTAGAAATAGTAAGTCAAAACGAATAAATATTAAAAGAAATATTATTGAAATACTTAAAGGTCTATTTTTCCTTGGAACACTCGATACAAATTAATATAAATCAATTTTCATAGAGACTTTAACTTTGTATCAATTCAAAAGATTTCGAATTGACATTTTTAATGTGATCCACATGTTGAAGTATAGTTTATGGAAAATCTAAAACAAAAAAAAACAAACAAATGATTCAACTAGGATTTGCTAACGAGCATTACTACTAGTTCATATAAGAGAATTATAATAAAGAATAGTTACTCTTGTTTTACTGCTTTTCAAGAAAAAAAAATGAAATTTTTTTTTTGTGTGTGCATAAAACAAATTGATGAAATTTATTAGATCTATCGAATCTAATCTTAGATTTGATTACAAATCGAAAGAGGTATATTTGTCGATAGCCACAACAACCCGATTCTATTTTATATTTTAATCTTATAGGAAGTCCATTTACAGTTTTTTTCTAACTTCAGTGCTTTTTGGACATGAAGCTTTTTGTTATTGCTTTCTTACAGGATAATATCTATATAGTATCTTCAAATACATTTTAATAAAAAACCGGATTCGAAAAGAGAAAGAGATGAATGTACATGTGTACTGGAATCTAGTTGTTTCTAGTTAAACTTACGACCATATCTTTGCCTATTCAGTGACTTTTTCCAAAAAGTTTGATAAATTTCATATGTGAACTTATAAAAATCGTCTTTAGACATATTTAACAAATTACGTATATTCTCGATTATTTGTTTTCCTATTATCACAATTACCTTTTCAATCTAATACCTATGCACTTTCTTTATCTTATCATGAGTCATGAAAATAAGATACATCAAGTTTACTCATAAGTACAGGTGATAAATACTTGTCTTATCAAGTTTGTTACTTATTTAGTTTTCTTGTCAATTGAAAAAAATAACAAAAGAATCCTTTTTTTTGTCCTTCAATCTTTATTTTTCTTCATTAATGCAATTATTTAGAAGAGTATCGATGCGTGTTTAATAATATATTCGCAAAAAAAAAGATCTCGATTGATGAATGAATAATTGTTTTCATTCAATGATTAACTCAGAACATTCTTTACTAAAACCTAAACATAACATACTAAAAGAACAGTTAAAATTGATAAGAAACCTACTGATTGACTCCCATCATTGAGATTTAGAAGAAATTTTTTTTCAGATACATATACAATTCATAAGAAAATATGCGTTCATTGTTCGAATGAACAACATAATATTGATACAAAAGAAAGATACATATTCATGTAAGTACTACACAAACATATGAATCTATTTAAAAAATTTCTTTTATACTCACAACTTGACTATTGTACACTTTCACATGCATTTAGATAAGATTAGTTATATAGATCAATATTGTTATATAAAAAAAAAAATTACTATGTCAATAGATAATCTAAAAATATAAATTAACAAATTCCTTAATACAAAAGAGAATTGTTAAGAAGAGTTCATAAGGTTCAGTGAGATATCCATTATCATAATTTATGAATAAAAATCTGATTATAAGTGGGTTTTATTATTTATCTATATCAAGATAAAGAACGCAATAAGAGTTTATAGAGTTTAAATTGTTACTATGGATTCTTATTTGTACATGGTTGATTTATTTTAGAAGTGAAACCTTGACATAATAATGTTTGTAAAGGAGAATGTCGCTTTTATCTAAAAGAAACACTTTAATTTTATATGATAAAAATAAACAAATTATTTTATTTGCTATCTATTTTTGATTTAATTGACACTAATAAAATATAAAATTCAACATTTTCTTTTTTTTCATATTTAAAATTTAATTTGATACTTAAATATATCCAATCATGATATAAGATCAACAATAGATGTCGCTAGTTTCTTGTGTGTAAAAGCGCGTGAAATATAAACTATTACCGATTCAAAAAACAGATAAATGGATTTTTTTGTATCATAAATAACTCGGGCTTAAAGTACCTAGCTATCTGCAGTTTTCAGTATTCGAAGGAGAACAGATAGATCTATCAATCTATACAAAAAATTAAAAAATCAAGCAATGGTCAGTTCTTATTGACCATTTTGGATACGATGCTCTTGGAAAATTTCTATTACATGTTGACCTTTACGATAGTCATTTGATAAAGAAAATCAAGATTTCTCTATGTGGTTCTGTTGTCAAGTTATAAGCATCCTTCTAAAACCTCCAAAATCGGTCAATTGACCACACTAATATAAGTGATGGTTTGTGTTTTCTTTTTTAAAGTAACATGAGGTAATCAAATCGATATTATAAAAATCCATTGTTTCCTCGTAATACTTAATTAAAACTGATAACTTTGAAGTTTTGGTCAGATTTTTTTGATGGTGCTTAAAAAAAGAAAACAAACACCACCACTCGTATTAGTATGGTCAATTGATCGATTTCGGGGATTTCAGAAGAATGCATATAACTCTGGAACGGAACTACTCAGAGAGGTCTTGGTTTTCTCTATCAAATGAATATCTTAAAGGTCAACATGGAATGGAAAAATTGTCACTAGTATCGTTTCCAAAGTGCTCATTGAGAACTGACCATTGCTTGATTTTTTAATTTTTTGTATAGATTGATAGATCTATCTGTTCTCCTTCGAATACTGAAAGCTGCAGATCGCTAGGTACTTTAAGCCCGAGTTATTTATGATACGACAAAGTCCATTGACTTTTAGAACGGATAATAGCTCTTTTATTCCACAATAAAACACCGCCGATCTTGTATTATGTCTCCTTTATTTTTAAAATTTTTAATTCAAAATGATTTTTCAGAAAACTCAAACGACTTTGAGGATTTAGAATGTTTTAAAAGTCTAGTAATAATGTTGTCTTTAGTTTTTTGAGAGCATAAATGCACCAACTCGCTGATAGTCTTATAAAACTAATAAAAAACCTAAGTCGTCATGGTCTTGAAAATATAAGGCATTACTTAGAAGTCGATCTATTCGGTTCATCATTTCCATTCTATCGATTTCTGTCATCTTATGAGAATTTAAAAATATATTGGAAGTTTAATAAAAAGAGTTCTAGAAAGAAAACGATAATTATGAAAATTTTCTGGAAAGAATCAATTGAAAACATTCCTTTCAGAAATTCAATGCATAATGGCTAATGGATATCTTGCGTCTCCGAAGAACTGAATTGATAAGCATTTACACAAAAAGTAAAAATATGGTGATTCATACGATATCGATTGACCTTTTTACCAGTTGAATTCTGTACTCGTAATGATCGCTTTTGTGCCAATTTTCTACCGATTAAATTAAAAAAAACTTAGTCGACAAGTTACTAATTTACTGATAAGAATGATGAAGTCTTTCCTATAGTTCAATGTGGTCGGATATTCATAGAATGGTTTTGCTGAATTTTAATAGTTTGTTACAATTTCGTTATGAACAAAAAACTAAAGCAAAATACTGTCAAAGTTCTGAATAAGCTTGGAATTAAAAATAACCTAAAATTATCTCCGAATACATCTAGTTCATTCATCAAGTTCTGATTATTACCTCGTATGTTATTTTCAATGAAAAAATATCGAAAATGTCTGAATCAATAATTTAGTGTTCAAATAAATTATGATTATTTCATTTATAGATTTTGTGATTTTCATTAGTTATAAGAATTTTTTAATAAATCGAACAGAAAGATTCCACATCACTTTGTGTCATAACATCAATATGAAATAGCTCAGCAATATTACGACATCTAAGTTTCGTTCAGCTCAATATAATTAAATGAAAGTTTATTCTTTTCAGATAAGGACAACCTATGGCCGACGAAAGAACCTTTTCAGCACTCCCTTCTGATTTCGATGACTTTTTTGCCTATAGACACTGCATAGTGCTCTAAAAAAACCTTAACAGGATTTGGGTTCCTATTGAGATTTGACTAAGCTATATATCTATTTTCTAGAAGTCTCAAGTTTTCGAAAAACTCGTATTTTCGAATTTTGATCTCAAACTTTGCGCATATAAGGAATTCCACTAGACTAGTTTCCATAAAAAAAACTGATACTGATCATGATAAACAAGCAACATAATAAAAAATTTTAGTTGATAGCTGAATAAAATCGACTTTGATTATTGTATCTAAAAATGATGATCGATAAATAAAACAATAAAATAATTGTCTCATGTTCAGTAAACATGATGTTTAAACCATTAGAGAACGAAATGGAAAAACTGAATTGGAATGCTTCTTCATTATTTTATTTTCACGACAAATGATCGTTTTAACAAAGAAAAAACAATAGAAGAAAAAAAATCACACGTTCGAAATTTTTTGTAAATATTCTGTATGTAAAGAGTTAATCTTTTGTTTAAGTTGATTGTTATTGATGTGTCCTTCGATGAAATCAGATATTGCGGCACTTGTTTCGGACGAAAGTTCATTTGATAGTTTATAATATTGAATACCTTTAAGGGGTCGTTGATCCTAGAACAATTTATTAAAATATCTAGTAGTGAACATCTCTCCCAAATGAACACCTCCTATTAGTAACTCACTCAGACGCGATGAAGCAACTTTAGCTGGAAATGCATCTCTCTAATGTGAACACCTCTGTGTACTGAATAATGAATTTTTTTTATTTTGCGATAACTGTGATCTCATAGATCCTGTCAATACAAGTGTGGAAAAAGTATTGTTTGGTCAACGTTTGTGATGATGTTATGATAGAATATAAAGGGGTCTTACCTTGATGACCAAAGGTAACGTGATCAGCTAAGGAGGGGATGTAAGATCGTTTTTGGATGGATAATTTATTTTATTAAGGCAAAACACACACAAGAGAGATAGTATTAAATGCTACTGCTCTCCACCAAAACAAAATAACAACTGAACGATATCAAAATCAGAAAAAATTCTAAAGAGAGAGATAGACAGAACGAAAAAGAGAAATCTAACTATTGAACGAACGAAAGAGAAAAATCCAATTAACTACAGAACGAAAAGGAAGACGCCGACAAATGAGAAAATAAGACGAAACCAATTGAACTTCGTTCAATAAAGTTAGCGTTGACATAGTGTCATCTGTTGACGCTAACAAGTATAATGAAGAATACGAGAGAGATACAAACCAAGAGAGAGAAAAATAATAAATATATGAACTCTCAAAATTTCACACATCCTCTCTTAATCCTTTCTTGTCAGTGGCGGATCTAGAAATTTTTGAAGGAGGTGGCGGATAAGTGGAATGAGCGAAAGGGGGGTGGCGGATGTGACAAAAATGTAAAATTTCCAAGGAAACCCACTAGAAAAAACCGTGAAGTCAAACCCGAGGGGGGAGGCAGTCGCCACCCCCGCCACCTCCCTGGATCCGCCACTGTTTCTTGCCTTTAGCTACATCTGACAGTTCGAAAGGACAATTCGCTTAGTAACATCAATCTGATAGCCCTAATATACACGGGAAAAGTTTGAACCAAATTCAACAAACAAGCCTTTCTCTTATGAATTATAGTGTGTGCCTTGACATTATGTATTTAGCGAACATAAAAGAAATTATTTTTATGATAAAGATTAGATTCAAATTGTTGATTTGGAGTCTACAATATGTGGACTATAATTTGATATAAAACCGGTTTCTAAATGCCTCATAGTTTAAAAGAATCAAATTTTTATAAAATGGTATTTATAGGAGCTATACTCATGTCAAAAAAAGATTATAAGAAAAGATTAAAAAGCAGATTATAATGGCACTATTATAATCTGCTTTTTAATCTTTTCTTATAACCTTTTTTTGACATGATTAGGGCAAGAAAAGGTTAAAACAGTTTTCTTGTCAGTAGATTAATCTGAACCATACAAACAAAGAAGATTCTTACAGTGGATGTTGACGATAAAAGATCTTCAGCCATTATTTTGGTTCTCTATTACAGATAATCCACGTGAAGATTTGAATCAATGTCTGCAAGTGAGTATAGTAAAGTGAATGAAAGATAGTTCTCTGCTATATATAAATACAATGCGTAAGCAACGACCAATAGGCATTGCTTACAACGTCATAAAACGATATTCATTTTTTCTTTCTTCTATTGCTATTTTTTCCTCTCTACATTCTGTTAAGCAGAACATAACATCAATCTAATCCCCAATGCGATTTCTATTGGTCAATTTGGGCATCAGTTAACGTTGTTCACCTTTATTCTGTTTTTTCCTCCTTCTCATTTTTTTCCTCGAACGACTTATTAGCTGCAGCACAATAAGTACAACTATTATGTTTTTTTCTACACTCTGTGATAAATAAACTAAGATGTTTTAACAAATCAAAACAAATAACAAGGCAGTATTTTTATTTCAATTTTAATCCTATTCGAAATGCAATAATGATATGGGCATTTTTGACCTTTTTTTAATATTTATGCGATCATTTACAACCAATAATAGGACAAATAACAAAGTTGAAATACCAAAAACTAAATAAATGTAAACATCAAAAATAATAATAAATTCAACATCATAAACAGATAATAACATAAACGATATTTCAATATGAATTTCTTGTATAAATAACGAAATAAACAGTGATATCATTGTAATCAATATCATCATGCAATTAATAAAATAAACCTACTAATAACACCATGACACAAATAACAATTAATAAAACAAATTTAAATCATAACTATACTATAAATTTATCCATGAACAATTATAACATGTAAAAAAAAAACACTAAAACTTTTTAATTCTGCTATATGAATAATAATCATGTATTAAAAAATAATCTATATCTCAGGTCAAAAATTCTTATATCATTATTACAATTCGAATAAAATTAAGATTGAAAGAAAAAAATTGCTTTTTCATTTGTTTTGATTTTGTAAATTGATTTATATTTCTCAAGATTTATTTTTTTCATACCTAATATGCTTTATCTTAGAAATAATGAACTCACATCATATGTTGTTTTTGTTGTTATTGTTGATGACGTCTCACAAAGTTCTTCTACGTCGTGTAATGTTATAATATCAGTTGTTAAATTAGATGATGATGATGATGATGATGATAAATTCTGAAAAAAGAGAAAATTTTGAAACAATTTTTACAAAATGTTTTAAATATTTCTATTCTAACATTTACCAAGAAGAGAACTACGGAGACATACTTTTTGACTCTAAAACACGACTACAACTCCAAAGGCAAGACGTTGCCCGATCTGAACGGACAAAAATTGACGGGGATAATGGCAAAGCAATGAAATTGATTATTTTTTCTGGTTTCTCAGCTCCTTTTCCTGTTCTAACGCCTATAACTCTATCAAATCAAACCACAGGCACCTAAAAATTCTTTCACAACTCCAGTTTGGTTGAGGAATCGATTGGTGTAAAAAAAAATTATATGTTAATTTCGACCATAAAATTGACTTTCTCGATTGACTCCTAAAATCCCTCTTAAGGACAAGTAGAAGGACAAGTATACATGCAAAAAGGCAAGTTAAAGTAGAAGTACATTTTTTAAATTACGGAATACTTTTACTTGCAGTACTTGTACTCAACCTAGCTCTGATAGTCTAAAAGAAAACGTACTTTTTGTTCTTGATACCATTTATCCTTAATGTTTCTAATTAAATCATAATCAGTTGCATGATATCTATAAATATGTTCAAAGATAATAACTAAATTTTCAAAATCATTCGATGGTGTAAAGTACGCAGGACAACTAGTTGCATGATATAATGGACAATGAAAAAATTTTGTTTTTGTTGTATTATCAACTAATAAAATAATAATTAAATCATCTATTTTTAATCAATTTCAACTTACTATATTCGAGAAAATTAAAAACAAGAGGTTTTTCATCATCATAAAGTTTTTTCACAAGTTTTTTAATTGCTAAAATTATCAAATCAGTCATCGTTTCGAATACTTTATTACAAATGAACCCACGTGTACAGAGAAAACAGAAGAGAGAAAATCGAAAGAAAATCGAATTAGTGTATTTTTTTTAAATAGGCAACAATGTGGACTAAAAGCTCTAGTCGAAGCTGCATATTAGACTGAAAAATATTTAAACCACGAACAAGTGAATTTCTCGATTTAGATCATCATGAATAAAGAAAAACATTTTGCTTTCTTTCCTATAATCATTGTATTTAGCAGCTGATTGTTACTTTTTTTTAAATTATAAATAATTGATTTTCTGGTAATAAATATAAACGGGAGTTCCATAATAACTGAGGATAAATTGTTAATGATATTTTTTTATACTTTTTCTTGACATAGAGAGCTGAAATTTTTATTACATACCGGGTGACCAATAATGAATGGTCGCACTTTGCATTTCATATTTTCATCTCTAAATAAGTCTCATCAAAAAACAAAATATACCACAAGATGCAGCGTGAAAAGCTCCACAATTTACAGAGGACAGCTTTTCCTACAGTTGCACTTTTTTGCTTTTAAAATCGGCAAAATTCTCTGCGATCAAATTTTGACCAGCCGAAAATTGATTGCAGTAAATTTTGCTTTTTTTTGAAAACAATTACAATAAGCTTTACTGTGTAAATTGTAAAGCTCTTCTCGCTGCATCTGGTGGTATATTTTGTTTCTTTTTAACTAAAAGATATCAGATGATAAAAAGATGAGATAAGAAAAAATGAATCCATCTTGTATTAAAAAAAAATATCGTTTTCGCATGGTCAAAATTTGATCGGTCAGCTGATTTTGAAAACAAAAAGTGCTACTATAAAAAAACGGTCGTATGTAAATTGTAGAGCTTTTCATACTGCATCTTGTGGTACATTTTTTTTTGATGATACTTATTTAAAGATGAAAGTATGAAATGCAAAGTGTGGCCATTCATTATTGGTCACCCGGCATATATCTAATCAAGATCTTGTGTTTGTGAAAGTTTCAGTTCTTTTGCTATAACTAGTGGTGAAACACATCGACAAGATTAAAACTGCTAAATTTTCGTACTCATTTTTTGCATTTTATTTTGCCAATGAAAATAATACAAAAAATCGAGTTCGATGATTAAAGTATTTCAATCGTATGGATGTATTTCATCGCTAGTTATAGCAAGAGAACTGAAACTTTCACAAATACAAGACCTTGATTAGATGTATATGTGATAAAAATTTCAGCTCTGTATATCAAGAAAAAGTTATCTCGAAAGAGAACCATCTATCTGAATTAAAACTTTTATGACATCACAAAAACCATAAGAACTAGTGTCGTAGAAAATTTTAAACGTAAATTCTTTGTCGCGATTTTTTTTCGTCAAATCCTGTACAATAAGGTTAAACGTTTGTAAAATTGAGCACAATTCGAGAAGACAGGCCTAATTTCAAAACCTCTTCGACAGTTTTTATCCATACTGTGAGTACTACCTAGGCATGATCAAAACTAGTTGGGAAACATGAAAGGGTATGGATCTTCCTTTTCACGTACACTCACACCATGAAAGGAATTATTTTTCAAAAACAAATACATATGATCACTAAGTTTCCAGCTTTATATAGATAAAAACCGTAGAACAAAAAAACTCAAATGAACAATAAATCTATTTAACTATACTAGTGTCATGATTCGTCCCTGTTTAAGCTATTCTCATTGTTAACTCAACGCTAATTCTATTATGTAAGTGCCAGAAATGTCCATCGCAGCTAGAAGTATGCCGCTACCGAGAATTTCTGCAAAAATCTCTGCTTTCACTCTGCTAAATTAATACATTTAGATTGAATCCATCAGATTCACCACGATTCTGACTGTTGGATTTGTAGACACTAAAATTGAATGTAAATTCATGTGATTTTACAGTTTCTCTGGAAATGGAACTGCCTCTACCGCGCTCGCCATGGATATCTTTGATGATTGCCAAGAAGTAAAAGGTTTACGATGATATCATATTTAATAGTACGAATACTTACGACTCCAAATACCCAAGGCTAAATAACGATTAATTTTTCGATATAATTCTTTACTAAATGGCCATATTATACAAGAACATAATTGTAAAAAATTAATAATTAAACCACTAACTAAAAAAATATAACCAAGAAATGTAACAATAATGAATGATGATTTAAATTCATTATAAATATGCATAATCTGAAAATATAACAAAAAAAAACAAAAAAAAAAGAATTTAATTTGAAATTGTTTTTTTATATAAATATTCTTTCATATTATTTTCATCATTTATCAATGATATAAATAATATAGGATATTCAATAAATATTCTCTCATGAAATAAATCAATTATTGTATTAAATGAACGTTTTTCATATTTTCCAAATTGTTTTCGTTTTTGACCAAAATTTTCGATATAAATACAAATTTGTTGTTCATGAGAAAAATTTTTTAATTTTAAAAGAATTAATTCATCATTTATATTAGATGTTTCATTTAGATAATTATGAAATTTTTTTAAAATATTCAATAATGTTGTTTCATTTGTTGATAAATTAGTTATTGTCCATTTATAAAATGTATTAATAAAAAATTGACATTCAATATGCCAAAAAATATCATTTGTTTTTTTATCAAACCACATTTGATTTTGTTTATGTTTTGTTGAAAATCTTGGTAAATAAAGAATTTGTATAGATCCTAATATTTTTAATTTATTTTGTATTAATTTTTGAAAATATTTCAATTCATTAAATGATTTCTTTTTGTTTCCAAGTTCATTTCGTTTACTTGTTTCAATTTGACGATTTATTTCTTCTAAAAATCGATAATCTGATAAAAGATCAAGATCATTCATTTTATTTAATGATTTAAATGATGTTTTATCTCGTTGTCCATTACAATTTAAAGTCTTTTTATGTGTAAGACAACATGATAAAGAACATGTACGTATTGAACATCGTGGACATGTATATTTTATTGGATTTTTATAACATATAGAA